CCATGCATTCTTCTGGACGGGTATATCTAAAGATGTTAGGCAGTACTGTCAGACGTGTGATATCTGTCAGAGAGTAGGCAAAAGAGGTGACCGACACAAGGCCAAATTATGCCCCCTACCCATTATAGAAGAGCCATTTAGTAGGGTGGCAGTAGACATAGTAGGACCCCTACCCAAACCCAGTCCCTCTGGCAAGAAGTACATCTTGACCGTGGTTGATTACGCCACCAGGTACCCCGCCACCAGATACCCCGAGCCATTCAGAGACAGTGGTCGAAGCTCTAATGAAAGTCTTTTCCCGGGTGGGGTTCCCACAGGAGATAATCTCCGATAGGGGTACGCAATTCACAGCCGAAGTAATGGGATACGGATGAAAACTACTGAACAATCATACGAATACTACATACACTTTTAACTATACAGGAGAATAAACACACAAATTGCAGTTTGAACACAGTCTTTTAGGACAGCCGTAATACCATACGCTACAAGGTTACTAAAATATAGCAAAGGCACAACTGGAAGCATAGTTCGCAATTTCAAAGTTGAGGGAACAATAGTTACACTACCTGGACGGGGCTGAAATAGAAAGCTTTCAATGGCTGCTACCAGATTTCTATGAAGGCAGCTTGTGGAAAATCCTGAAGTGACTGCAAAAGAATTGCAGCAAGACTTGGTGGCAACATGCACTGAGTTTTCAGTGAGCACAGTAAGGCACATACCAAACGCAGAAGATTTCCATGCCAGAACCCCAAGAAGTACACCTCTACTGACAAGAAAAAGTCAGCTCTAAAATGCTCAAAATCATATAAATAGGCCACAGACGTTTTGAGATTCTGTTCTGTGGAGCTATGAACCATAACAGGAACTTTTTGGCCCAATGGATCGGTGGTATGTCTGAAGCATATTCTGAAAAGAACACTCTGCCTAGAGTTAAGCATGGTGGTAGTTTGGTGATGCTCTGAGGCTGTTTTGTATCCTCTGGCACTGGAGACCTGCAGCATGTGGAAGGAAAGATGGATTCATTGAAGCATCAGGCAATCCTAAGAGAAAACATCATGCCATCTGTGAGGAAGCTGAAGCTTAGGTGTCATTGGAACTTCCAACAAGACAATTATCCTAAGCATACCTCAAATAACAAATTGAAACCAATGTGGCTTAGTAGAGAGGTAAAACAAGAGACTAAAAATAAGAAAATGGTATTTAAAGCATTTAATAGGACAAATCAGAGGCATCCTATATAAGATGTAAGAAAGCCAATAATACTAGAAAATGAGAAATTGATAGCCAAAGAATGCAAAAACAACCCTTTGTTTTTTTAAGTACATCAATTCTAAAAAAAGTAAAAATTAAAGTGTAGGTACACTGGAAACAGAGATGGGTCTGTTAGCTAATGAAGACCAGGGAAACGCAGAAATTTTAAATAACTATTTTTCTTCAGTGTATTTTAATGAGAATCCTATGGCAAAAGATATGCAAATGATTGCTGCAAAAAAACTTACAGATAACTTGTGATTGGATGACTCGAGACAAGGTGCTACAGCAGTTAAAGAAAATTAATGTAAATAAAGCTCCGGGGCCTGACGGTATTCACCCACGAGTACTTAAGGAGCTAAGTGGGGAAATAGGTGAACCTCTGTATTTAATTTTTCAAGATTCTTTTGTTTCAAGTATTGTATTGGAGGAAGGCAGATGTTATTTCTATATTTTAAAAGGGTTCAAAATCCTTGCCTGGGAATTATAGACCTGTGAGCTTAACTTCTGTGACTGGGAAAATATTTGAAGGCCTATTAAGCGATAATATTCAGGAATTCATTGGGAAGAACTTATGGGCAATAATCAGCATGGTTTTATGAAACATAGGTCATATCAAACTAACCTAATTTCACTCTACGAAGAAGTAAGTAGAAGTATAGATCAGGGTGTTGCAGTGGATGTGATCTACTTGGATTTTACCAAGGCATTTGATATGGTTCCTCACAATAGGTTAGTCTTCAAACTAAAATAAATTGATTTAGATGAATATTCTTGTTCTTGGGTAGAACATTGGCTTAAGGATAGAGTACAATGAGTTGTCATTAATGGTAAATTTTCAGGCTGGACAAAAGTGGTAAGTGGTGTCCCTCAGGGTTCTGTTTTGGGACCGCTTCTATTCAACATATTTATAAATTATCTTGAAAGAGGCATTGAAAGCCATGTCTCAGTGTTTGCAGATGACACAAAACTGTGTAAAGTAATAAAATGTGAGCAGGATATTGCTTTGCTGCTGAGGGATTTGGAGATTTAGATTGGGGGACTGGACAGATTAAATTTAACGCAGAGAAATGCAAAGTTATGCAATACGGGGTCAAGAATGCACAACCAACTTACACCCTAAATGGTAGTGACTTAGGGATTACCACACACGAGAGGGATTTGGGAATGGTTATAGACAACAAATTAGGCAGCAATATGCAATGTCAATCTGCAGTTGCTAAGGCAAGTAAAGTTTTGTCATGTATAAATAGGGGCATAAATTCTCGGGATGAAAATATAATTTTGCCTCTTTATAAATTGCTAGTAAGACCACACCTTGAATATGCTGTGTAATTTTGGGCACCTGTTCTAAAGAAAGATATCATGGCACTAGAAAAAGTGCAGATACGAGCTACAAAATTGATAAAAGGAATGGAGCATTTTAGTTACGAAGAAAAGTAAAAAAATGTAAATCTCTTTAGTTTGGAAAAATTACACCTGAGAGAGGACATGATAACATTATACAGATATAGTCAGGCCAGTACAAACCATTATCTGGAAATCTATTCATAAACAGGGCTATACATAGGACACAAGGTCACACATTTAGGCTGGAAGAAAGGAGATTTCATCTAAGGCAAAGAAAAGTTTTTTTTTTACAGTAAGAGCAATAAGGATATGGAATTCTCTGCCTGAAGAGGTGGTTTTATCAGAGTCCATACAGATGTTTAAACTGCAATTGGATAAATACTTGCAAAAACATAACATACAGAGATATAAAATGTTTTAATTAGTGTGATAGTAGCGGCTTGATCCAAGGAGACATCTGACTGCTATTTTGGGGTCAAGAAGGAATTTTTTCCTAGTTTGTTGCAAAATTGGAAGCGCTTCAGACTAGGTTTTTTTCCTTCTTTTGGATCAACAGCAAATACATTTGTGAGGAAGACTGAACTTGATGGACGCAAGTCTCTTTTTAGTTATGTAATTATGCAACTAATCACTTTTACTAGCTTATTTTATTATTATGTTATTATGTTATTATTTATATAGCGCCATCAAATTCCGCAGCGCTTTACAATGGGTAGACGAACAGACATGTAGTTGTAACCAGACAAGCTGGACACACAGGAACAGAGGGGTTGAGGGCCTAGACTAGTGACAGTTGCAAGAAAAGAATCAGTTGGGGCTATTAACAGTTTAATTGATACACTTTTATGAAGAAGTGGGTTTTTAATGATTTTTTGAAAGAGTGGAGACTGGGTAAGCATCTAACAGAGGACGGAAAAGCAAGTTCCAGAGGAACGGTGCAGCCCTCGAGAAGTTTTGAAGGCGAGCATCAGAGGTGGGAGTATGGACAGAAGATAGACATAAGTCTTCAGCAGATCGTAAGGGCCTAGACGGGATATACTTGTGTATTAGGGAGGATACAGGCATCTTATCTACCAGTCCCTTTTACCATCCTGCTTACTGTTATATTTCTCTTGTGTGTCTTTTCTCATTCCTCATAGTTTGCAAACTCGTTTGAGCAGTGCCTTCATTGCCTCAATTAATTTTTATGTATCATTGATTTGTTTCCATAATCCTCATTCTATAATTGTAAAGCGATGCGGAATATGTTGGCACTGTATTAACATACAATAATAAATAACAATCTTGTAACATGATTTAATATTTTTGGATAAACGTTTGAATGATATACTATTTTGAAAAATATTTTAATAGCGTAATATTGTATTTTTTTATATATTGATTTTTGAAAATATATATTTTAATATTTTAACCCCTTAGTGACCAGACCGTTTATCAATTTTCTTTCAGTTAAGGACCAGGGCTGTTTTTAAATTTCTGTACCCACACATATTATATACCGTTTTTATATACCGTTTTTTTTGCCTTCTTTTGGATCAACAGAAAGAAACTTGAGGAAGGCTGAACTTGATGGACGCAAGTCTCTTTTCAGCTATGTAACTATGACATTAAGTAATGATTTTACTAAAGATTTGGATGAAAGAATTATGTAGTTCTTTATTAAAACAGCAGCAAAGAAAATGAACAATGAATGCTAAATGATTTTTAAAAATTGTAACATCAACTGTTGAGGAAGATGGCAGCATAATTCTGTAGCTCCCTCTTCCCAGCAAACTCAATCCGCAAACATCCGCACACACGAGCAATCAAATCACCAAAGAAAACTCAAAAACCACCACACTACCCACTCAGCACAATATATCAAGATGGGAGGTGGAAAGCAGAAAAAAAGAACAGACCACATCGGTCGCCATGATGTTCCGCCGTCAGCAAGAACCAGGCCGGTCGTCTTCTCGCCAAAGCTTGGAGGAGATAAGCTCAGACCTCAAAGGGAGCGAACATGCCACAGCTCCAGGCACCCCTCTGACCTTTTAGGATATGAAGCGTATGCTTACAGAAGCCACCATGGACATAAAGTCCCACATGGCATTGGAACTGGACAAGAGGCTCACGGGCCTACCAAAGACATCGAGGCTCTGTGGCACAGATCAGACCAAACTGAAATGCGCATCACAGACCTCACTACCACATCTCAGGCTCACTCACAGGACATCGCCTACCTCCACGTGAAAATGGGAGCGATGGAGGAAAGACTGGAAGACCTGAACAACAGGTCCCGGCGGAATATTATTAGGATCAGGGGCCTACCTGAAACAGTCATACCCGACGGCTTGCATGCCACACTTACAGGCCTATTTCAGACTATCATACCTGACGCCTCTGTGCAAGACCTCCGCATGGACTGGGCCCACAGGGCGCTCCGACCACCGGCCCTAAACCCGGACTCCCCCAGGGACGTCATAGTCCACATGCACTTCTTCACAATTAAAAAACGGATCCTCAACCTTGCCAGAGCAACCCTTCCGCAACATCAAGGGTCCCGCCTGGCATTCTTCAAGGACCTGGCCCCATCCACCCTGAAGAAAAGAGGAGACCTCAAACAACTTACCCTCATGCTTAACCATCTCGGGCTGCGATACATGTGGGGCCATCCATTCAAACTGATCGTGAGAAAGGACAATCAGACCCATATCCTGAAAAGCGCAACCGAAATGACTCCATTCGCTGAATCACTGGGACTTACCATCTACCACTCCAACAGTCCGAAACCCTGGGCATGTACGGAAGACCGCGACCATAAAGGGAGTGGCCTTCAGACTCCCCCCTCCAAACACCACGCAAGATGGTCTCTGCTCAACCTGAAGACCAAGACTAAAAGCACAAGCAGAGCCGAACGACCATGCCAGCAGACCCGGACCTACTGGAACTGGCTAGTTACCCCCCCAGCCTCCCTCTCCAAGCCCTAGACCATCTTTCTTGATCACCCCTATCCCCCCAAAGACACGCACCCAACAATGAACACCCGGACTCTACCAGCATGGGGAATGGGACCCTAACCGCATAGACCCTTCCTGGCGGCACCATATCACACACCAAACTCCCGCCAGTGCCCTCCAAAACAGTGCCCTGCGATGCCCCCACCCATCCACTGCTATGGGAGGCCTCCGACCGGGATGCCCCCCCCAGACCGGGACTCTCATACCACAGCCTACAGGACACCCTCCACAACCGCGGGGGATCCACAACCGGGGGCCTTCCTACGCTGGTGGGAAAAGAAAAGACACGGGCTCTGATGTAACGGTACTAGATTACGCCCCACACCACTCTACCGCATGGTATAATAATCTACTTGATTGCATATCCCACACGCTTACAGTAGAAAAGTCATTAGGGCGAGTGGGACCCGGGGGGCACTGGGACTCCTATACCTCCTCCCCTTCTATGGGTTGCCCCCACTGCTCTCAAACGAATCTCCCCCCCGATAGCCCTCCACCCTACACCGCGTACAAGGAGACACCCCTGTCCCACGAACCAGACCCAGGGCAGAGAAACCCAGGGGAAAAGCCTTGAATCCTTCACACACCCACCTGTTATTTCACAAGCCGCCCAAGAGTAAACTTTTATTAACAACTGCCAACATAACCTGGGAGGGTTCATAGGCCACCTACTCATCCCGCACGCACCCCCCCAAAAAAAACCACACACCCACCCCCACCCCCAGACAGAGCACGCTCTAATGAGCGACCCACCCGGGCTCCTTAGGGGCACGCTATGCTGCAAAACGCCTCACTGCACTTGAGTGGGTACCGGACTCCTATGCCCTATATACTTCCCAATTACATGCATCCGGTAGTACACGGCATCAAATTACGCCCTTCCCCCACTGACCTCACTACCATACACCAAACACGGGGGAACAGCCAACTCCCTGCTTGAATGTATGACTGTTCCCTATAGGAACAAAATTAGATAATTATGCTCTCAGGATGCGGGGGACGGATTGGGTTGTGCCCAGGGGTAACTGTCACCCACAGGCAGTTGGGACACACCTTAAACTGCCGAGCAGAGCGTGGCGCGCCTCCCTCCCCATGACAGGGTTTCATAGATTGCTGAATCGAAGAGCATACGGTGAAACGAGACGCAGAGCCCCGCCCTCCCCGGAGCCCACAACCACACACCGCACACCTGGGACGCCCCGGACTTCCAACCAGACCACCTGGGACACCAACCACTGAGAACATACTCCACATGAACCTTAGGCACAGGAACACAGGTATGAAGACCAACACACAAGCTACACAGCCCCATGGGCCTCCCCACAACAATGCACTTTAGTAAATGCGACCACCCCCTTCCTCCCCCCTGGTGAGCTTCCACCGCTGCCGCAACCAAGGCCCATACACCCCACCAGCACCATCACCTCCTCCACCATTAACCCCCCACCCCACATAACACATGGGATGACACCAAAACGCTCAGCCTGACCTCAGAGCAGTCCATACCTGGGAACTCCATATAAACTCCATATAAAACGTCACATACACATATATCTAGCACCCTAATGGATGGTACACCACCACAGGGAGGCCCACACGCTCCCTAGCCCCATAGCCACATTGGACCCCACAAATATGCGTTTACCTTGATCTACGCCCCCACCCTCCCAGATACTAACTTCTGGAACTCCCGACAGGCCCACCTCCGCCTCTTTCCCTCACATCACATGATAATTGGAAGGGACTATAACGCCACCATGTCACCCAACATAGATAGGCGAAGGTCGGCGAACCTGCATACACGACCCTCGCCTGCTACTCGGACCGACAAGATTCTGCAGGCATTTGTAGCATGCACACAACTGCTAGACACATGGAGAATACTACACCCCACCACCGCTGACTTCACTTTTTACTCACACCCCCACACCTCCTACTCCCGCATCGACATGTTCCTCATATCTCCCTCCCTACTCCCTCACGTCACACAAGCAACGTTAGGCTCGATAACCTGGTCGGACTACGACGACATACTCCTCCAATTCACCATCCCACACACAACCAAAACATGGACCTGGAGACTCAACCCAATAGATCTCCCCAACACTACCATCAGAGAAGCACTCCGAAAAGACATCATAGACTATTTCAAAATCAATAAAAACTCAGTCGACTCCACAAACACCCTATAGGCAGCCCATAAAGCTGTTATACGGGGCAAGCTAATCGGGGCAGCCACGGCGTACAAAAAAAACAACTGATGCAACTAGAAACGCACCTGGCTGCCCTTAGAACAACGGAACTCCAACACAAAGCAGATCCCAATCCTGCCCTAACAGCCCTACTGCAAGTGCATAGACAAGAAATCCAGAAATTCATGACACAAGACTCTAAAAAGGCACTCCGATGGACGAGGAAAATGTTTTATGAGAAATCGAACAAAGCAGACACACTTTTGGCACGCAGGCTCCAACAAAGACCCAAACACATATCCCAAATACAAGCACCCGACGGCCAAATGCTCTCCCACAACCAAATCGTGTCTGTTTTTCAAAACTACTGCGCCTCTCTATATGACCACGACCCTGAATCCCGACAAAACCCAGATTCCACACAGACAAAGAGAGAAACATTTATGGAATGTATCCCTATGCCCTCACTCACAGACGAGGGACGGAAGGCACTAAACACCCCTATTACACCCAAAGAAATCACACAAGTGATGAAAACCCTCAAACCCAACAAATGACCAGGACCAGACGGATTCCCCAGACTCTACTATAAGACATACCCATCGATACACCTACCACACCTCCTCTCCCTATTCACTTCCCTTATGGAAGAAAACCCCCCACTCCCGGACTGTGAGCCAACATATGCTTACTCCCGAAACCCAATAAAACCCACCAAGACCCAGGCCACTATCGACCAATCTCACTATTAAATACCAACATCAAATTATTCACAAAACTATTAGCCAACAGACTGCACCCCTTCCTTCCCAAACTAATTCACCCAGTCCATCCCCTACCGACAGGCAAGTGACAACACCAGAAGAACATATGACCTAATCTGGATAGCCAACCAACGACAACACCCCACCCTTCTCCTTTCCCTAGATGCCGAGATGTTCAACCGCATTTTCTGGCCCTTCCTGTTCGCTACCCTCGACAAAATGGGCTTCCCAGCGACCTTCCCAGAAACAATTAGGGAATTATACACCCATCCCATGGCAAACCTCCTAATCCCAAACACTCAACCCCCCTCCTTCACGATACACAATGGCACGCGACAGGGCTGCCCCTTTTCCCCCTCCTTTTCGCCCTCTCCCTGGAACTCCTCCTTCAGAAGTTCCGCTAGACTGCAACCATAACAGGCCTCAAAATCTGCACCGAAGAATATAAAATAGAAGCCTACGTGGATGACCTTCTGGCAGACAGACACTGACACTGACAGAACCCATATCCTCCCTACCCCGCTACTGGCTCTACTAGACGAATATGCCAAAGTATCGGGGTACAAATTAAACCTCAGTAAAACAGAAGCCCTCCCAATCCACATCCTCGCTGAAACACTAGAGAAACTTAAACAGGAATATCCATTCCGATATGAACCGAAGAGCATAAGCACACACCTACAAGCAGACTTGCAACACACATACCAACTCAATGATCTCCCACTCTACTAAACAAAGCCACCCAAGATCTGGAAACACCTATCCATATCCTGGCTGGGACGCCTGGCGGATCCATAAAGATGAACCTGCTCCCACACTTTCTCTATCTCTTTCAGGCCCTGCCCATCCCCATATCCAAGGCATACTTCAAGTATGGTCAGGAAAAAAAAAAGCCAGAATAAAGCGGGCAACACTGTACGTACCACACAAGATGGGAGGGCTGGGACTCCCCAACTTCTAGGACTACCACCAATTGGCCCAGCTGGCCCAAATTCAAAACCTCCATGCTCCAGTAGGACTTAAACTATGGGTAGACCTAGAACATGACCTATTCGGCCGAGATTTCCCCTTCTTACACCTTTGGCTATCCCAAGCAGAACAGGCCACACACCCTCTCCCCCTACGACCCCAGCGCTAACACACTCCATACAACTTTGGTACCGAGCCACCCGCAAACACGAACTTATCAACTCTCCATCCCCACTAACGCCAATACTATGGAACACACAATTCCAACCAGGCATGACCTCCAAACACTTCGCAAGATTCAAAGGCAACAACCTAGTTAGATTCTGCCACTTCTTTCAGGGACAACAACTAGTTCCCTTTACGGAACTCCCGAACACCACTCCACTCACAACATTCGATCACTTTCGCTTCATACAAATTAGACGTTTTCTGTCCCACCCACCCAATCATAAAACAGCCACCACCCCACTCACAACCTTCGAGAGGATGTACTTACACACCCCCGTACAAAAAGGCCAAATCTCTACTGTATACGGCATTCTACACCATACCAGCACCCCTGAGGCCCTATCCTACACCGTCGCCTGGGAAAGGGACATAGGCCCCCCAGAGGACCCCTCCAACTGGAGGGAAATCTGGGAAGCCACAGCATCACTCTCCATCTGCGTCATACATAAGGAGCAGGCCTATAAGCCCATGTTCCGCTGGTATACCACCCCCCGTGATTGAAACAAATGCACTTCGCCACCTCGGACCGATGCTGGAAAAGATGCAGAGAACAGGGCACATACCTCCACCTATGGTGGGAATGCCCACACATTACTCAACTCTGGTGCGAAATGGCCTAAGCAGTCAACAGGACACTACAAAGCGACCTCCCAATGGATCCCTGGATTTGGCTCCTTTCAAAACCCCACGAATCCCTAACAAGGGCCCAAAATAAACTCACAGCCCGAGTCACACTGGCCACACGGAGAACCATAGCCACCTCAATGGAAGTACTACGAAAAATAGACGACACAATCAAAATGGACAAACTGTCTGC